ATTGTGGCTGGGGGCCCGGCCAAACCCCCAAAAAAAAAAAAAAAAGAGCTAGAAGCTCACACAGACTTGCTCAGAAAAACAACTAAAGTGACAGTGAGGAACAATGTCAGGTTGCCTATGTTGCACTTCCAAAGCTGGCCGTTTGTGCCTCCTCGATGGCAGCCAATGCCATCCTCTTTTGCCGTCATAATACAAGGCAGTTTCTCTTTAGTGCCGTCTACCCATTCCCATTCGCTCAATTATCTCCTTCCACTTATGGTGAATCGTCGACGCACGCTTTCACTCCGATAACAGCCTGTCGGGTTTTCTCTATTTGGCAGTAAATGAACAACGAGCAGCTGAACATCCAGTATACTTCAGCTCGAAAGGCGTTCTACTCCGTCAAAAAGAAGAGCATAAACCACTTCTAATTTCTTAAATGGCCGAGCCTGTTCTCAGGTCGTGCCCCTAACCTCGCCGCTCAGTCGGTTCTATGTGCATGTCTAATCCCGCCTCACCACGCACGTCATGCCCGCGAGCTCTTACTTTCTTCCTCTTCCTTAGTTCAATAGCCCAGTGGTCATTCTACCACTACCACACATAAAACCCCACTGCCGGTATCTATCACAGTGCTGGACCTCTGCGCTGTCAGACAGTTCCGCCCATAGGTTTGAGGTGGCTTTATCAGATGTTTCAAGTGTGTTGCCGCAACCACAGAAGCCGTCGCAAAGCCTTTCTGCCCTAGCGATATATAAAACATTTCAAGAATGGGATGACTGTTCCTCACCCAATTCAGCAGGTAAAAGTGCAGCACCACCCCTGCAACCACAATCAAAAGCTGTGTTCGTCCTGGGAGTAGTCCCACGCGAACGGCCTGGGAACCGGCATCCGTTTCCTCTGCGGCCCGGCGCCATTCCAATGCTACCAGCTTTCCGACGGGCCCTTTGCGCCGCCAAAGCGTGTGCTCTGCCTCGGACAAAACTGCTGCACCCGACAGCTGCTCCTCGAACGCCTCAACGTTGTGGCCGAAAAGCAGAGCTTTCGCAGAGAGGTCAATCCTGTGGCCAGAGCAGCGGCCGCGCCTTGTGGATCCGACAAAGCCAAGCTCGCCGCCAATTACTTCCATGGCTTTGTCGTTGCTCTCTGCGTTATCCAGGGTGAAGTACCCAATTCTATCCTGGATCCCATACGCATCAAGGACGTCAAGTATCTCAGTCGCAATGTTGTGCCCAAAATGACGCGTTTGCAATTCAGGGACGCCAAGCACCAGCTTGCGCGGCTGACTGTTCTCGTCCCGAAAGAAACAGGCAATTCCATACAGATTATGTCTATTCCCTGACTTCCACCCATCAAACGAGACATGGATCTGGCCGGATGACTGCCGCAAAACCTCTATGACCTTATTCTTGTGCGTTTCGTAGGCCGAAAGTATTTTACGGCGGATAGTCGACCTGGTGATGTTGGCGTCGGTGATCTTCACAAGAGGATTGAGATATTCAAATATCCTGCGCAGCCTTTCTTGCTCACAGACACTAAAAGAGTGGTTCTCCTCGATGATCCATTCGAGTAGAAGACGCTGAAAGTGCTTCCGATCGAACCCTTGAACAAGGCGATTCGCGATATCTTGCTCCCGTGGAAGCCTTGTGCCGAGTTTCATCACATCAGCAATAGACCTTTGATCCTTGTTCATCACCTTTTCTGCTTTCTTCTGGGCCGATGATTTCGTTGATTCACCGGGTGCGCATATTCCGTGATCCTTGAACAGATGGGTATTCGCGTTCTGAATGCCTTTCTCTGCAAAGCTCCTCGGCCGTGGGCTCTTGATTCGAATGCAGCGTTTGCAGACCCATCGGCGACTGCCGTCAAAGTTCTGCACATCGTAGGCAAAATCCCATACCCAGGATGAGGTGTCACGAACACGCTGTGACCACACGTGATCAGGAAAACAACGTCAGAGGTACTGATGTTCTGGATCTGGATGTGGTGTTGATGACCGCGAACTGGGCGCAGGCGTTGCTAGGAAAGCGGAAACAGGTGTCGTTCGACGGGAGGGCGTCCCCGTTCCATTATTGTTGGAAGTCGAGGCCGATTCCATTTCATCTACTTCACTACATAGTTGCCCATGATCTGATGAGGCGCCGTCGCGTCGCGGTGTCGCGTCTTTTAAAGTTTTGGGGGGTTACTAAGTTAAGCTACCTTGGTCTAAACTAGATTAGGCTTAGTTTGGATGGATTGGGTTGGGATTTGCGGCACCCAGATCATGTCGAGTAAGCAGGCCAATGATGGCCTCCCGAGAGGCTTGATGATTGAAGCTATTGCGGAGGCCATTCTGGGAAGTTATCGGCACAAACATGGACGAGATATCTCGTTGTGCTGTCGGCGCGGACACAGATGATTTAGAAGACTCGGACAGCGGATGGAAAGAGAGAACATGTTTGACAGCATTCGTTCGGTGAGATGTACTCCAAGAATTACATTGCCTGCAGGTAAACTGCTTTCGACGCTGGACCCCGGATTTGAGCGTCGTGTTGGGTCTACCGACATACTCGGCCTTAAAAGTAACATCGAAATGAAATGGCGTAGCCGGCACTGATGTTTGCGCCGCAGAGACGATACTGGACGAGACGTCTGATGACATAGCAGCAACAGACAGGTTAGATTACAGGATCTAATACAGTTGAATCGGGGCCTCTGCAGAATTTTCCCCCGGAAATTACTGCCAAGATGCCAAGACGCCAAGATGGTTATATATGGTTATAACCATACTCATGAGGGTATATGGTTATAACCAAAAACCATGGTTATAACACGTTCTTGTGCCCAGGTATGGTCTGGTACCTTAAAATTAAGAAATAACGGGCGAATAAGCCGCGATAAGAGTCGGGCACATGTAGCAACTCCCTTGATTTAAGGCTAGCAAATCACGCTTGTCCTATCTACATGATGTATTTCTTACAGTGCGTCTATTTCTTACAAGTATTTGGTGGGCTTGTCAATCCCGTCACCCTAATCCTCGGCCAATATGCGCGGCTTCAATGCCACCTACAATGCCAAGTCATCAAGTGTTTTCTGCAATTTTAAAAGTCTGGTCCGTCAGTGGCCCTGTCCAATGTTTCCTTGCACATGTTAAGAAACACCTGACCTAGCTCAGCACGGTGAAGGGGAATGAGACTGAAAAAGAGAGCCGCAGTCAGGCCATAGAGAGTTTTGGGAGGCGGGCTGCCTGGGTACGTCTCCCGAACAAATTGGAAGAATTGTTTTCTCAAGCTCCTAAGCAGTGCATCATCGGATTCTGTTGTAACCGGAGAATTCTCGTGCGCAAATCCATGTACGTCTTTGACATTTCTTTCGCAGAGAAGAGCTATGTGATCGTAACCACAGAGCGACTGGAGGACTTTTGCAAGATCGTAATTGACATCTCCAGCGGTGGTTAAGACGTTTCCGAGCCGGCACCGGACGTCAATAAACTTGACCGCATTCCCGTCGGCTGAGAGGATGGCGTTGCTAAAGACCGGGTCGCCGTGTATGACGTCGGCTGGCACCGCCATTCTTTCCGCCTCGTACGTATCGAGGAATTCTTTGATGCGGCCATAGAGGCCTCCGGCGAGTAGTCCTAGACTGGCGTAGCGGTCCGCATTCTCTTCATACCTTCGACGTAGCTTTTGGCTATAGTTGGCATAGATGTCCGGCTTGGCATTGGGGTCCTCGAGGCGATATTTCTCAAATTGTTCTTTTAGCGCGGGAGAAATACCGAGCGTCTCAACCGAGGGAGACGTGGCTGTGTGGATTTTGTGCAATGTTGTCAGAAACAAATGCAGGCGGCCCTTGGTGATGGATCGACCGGCTAGCAGATGGGAAAATGTCACGCCGGGGCAATATTCCATTTGAATTACATATGTTGACGTGTCCTTGATGTAGTCGGCACTGTAAATGCTAGGAAAGTACCGTGCCATGTCCAATGGGACACGCGAGTAGAAAAACAGTTCTCCTAAAATGTGGTCGCGTTTGCTTGACTTGATGACCTGGTTGTTGACAATTTGAATGGTATTAAAATCCCGAGCTGCGACCATCCCAACCTTGGTAACTTCCTGACTAGACGAATCAGGATCGTCTAGCAACCATCCGACTTCTTGAATCGTGTCAAGATTAGAATTGACAGCAAGGTCATCGATGTATACATCTGCATAGGGCTTGCCAAAGTGGATATCGTGAAAGGGTATCTTGTATTTTGCTAGTTGTTGGAACGTCGTAGTGCCGATATCCGCTATAACGGCACCAACATTTCCGTGGTGTGTTCTCATGCGGCGGGCGGTTTGCTTGCCAGAAGGTTAGCGACCATCTTGGCCCAATTCTGCCCTGAGACCCGATATACGTACGATAATAATATGGTGTCCAGCATGATAAAGTTGCTGGACCAACTTGATATTCGCCTCGATTGGCGGACAAGTAGAGTAGTCGCCTGCTATGACAGGCGCTCCCACCAGAGTCATGTCCAGATCGAAGCAGAATCGGCTTTTCCTTCGGGGAATTTTGGAAGGCAGACTACCAGACTTGGCCCTGGCAAGAAAGCTCGTCAACTGCTCCGGTGTGCCCACGACATTGAAATCTTGTTCATTGACGGGCACTGCTAGAAATGGGATGCCGTTCTCCAGCATGAGTCCAACTAGCCTAGAAGTGAAATACTCTGCAAGGTCAGAATTGAGATACTCTGGCTTGTCTAGGTACTGTGCTGCCCAAAACTTGAGCTGATGTGCCGAGGGAAACACATAACCACCAGTATTCGCTTTGGTTGAGATGGCTGTCTTCTCTAGGATGTCGATAATTTTCTCCAGGCCATCTCTGAACTAGTTAGATAATGGCACACCATTAACGGTTAAAGCGGGAATGACATACTCGTTTTTTGTTTTAATGTAAGAATAGATTGGGCGATCTCCATTGTCAGAGAAGTAGATGCAAGAGCCGTACTGAGCCGGCAGGTTCCTGGCCAGTTGGAGAACATCAGTCCAATAGATGGTATCGCAGTCTATTGAAATGGTTCTGCGTTGCAAATGCTCGGCTTGCATGCCCTGCGTCGTAACGTAAAGCTATTACCTATTATTAGGTTATGCCGCATGAGCCAGGCTTCTTTTTCTGTCCAGGACTCACAGTCTCGGCCGCACCTTTGGTCTGATGCAGCAATCTAACAACTCGAATGTCGATCTTGGTATACGACTTGGCCAACAGCTGTCCAACTTGGAAGTTGTCGTTAATTTCTTTATTGATGGTCACCCACAATGTATCGCAGGGCCGCAGGCTCAGATGATCGATGATCCACAGCAGCATCGGCCTACCGACCATATTGATCAATGGCTTTGGGTAGCGATAACCTTGTTTAGAAAAACGCGTGCCATTGCCACCAATAGGGATGATGACATTAAGCGGCGCTTGGTCATATGTTAAGGAAGGCATCATGAATTATGCTAGTGTAGCTGACGTGTGGTCGCTTGGTTATGGTTCTAGGTGACATAAAAAGGAACTGGCTTTTTTGTATATATATAAGTCGACGAACCAGCATGAAAACCAAAAACCGTGGCACCTTGCTCCAGCCACTATACTGAGTAATGCGGCACGAAGCCAGAGATTCGAGAGCAATGCATCTCTAACCACGTGTGATCTTCTCGGGACGGGAGGTCATGGCGCACGCGTCCCTTAATTGTCTCAAAATAGTTGCAGCTGAGTCAGGAGTTTTCACTTCAGAGAATACTGCGGCTTGCTCGAAGACAGTATTTTAGCAAGACAATGAAGGAGTTGAGCGCCTGGTTACAAATATCGGATTGCTGACTCGTGTTCAGTATCATTTGTGATTCAGTCGTTTCAAAGAGATTAACCGTCAGGCAAGCAGCTCCACTAAACTGGTTGCATTAAAACATGATTCATAACGCTATCCTGCAAACCTTTCCATGTGGAGCTACCAGACATAGTATGAATCGTAAAGGGATTGATACGTTTTGCGAATTCCAAGATATTTCCACCAGCAATTGAGAGCTCCCTCCTCAAAAAATGCCCTAGGACAGTTAACGTCCAAAATTGAGCCCATCTTCTCAAGTCGATTTTAAATTTCCAATCCTACAGAGCCCTTTTTTTTTAAAGAATCTTATCCATAACTATTTATTTACATATAGTTATCGGAAAATCGGCACCTGTTTCGCTTTCCGCTCTGCCATCGCTTGGAAGGATTATTGCCTCTTCACTGCGGCAACAGGCCCACGCCATGGCTATATCGAAAGACGCAACCGGTCTTGCGCAAGGGCTGACTTCCGTCTTATCTCACAGGCGTTGGTATGCCGCGTACAGTGCCGCTGCCCTCGTCTTGATCCAGGTCGGAATAGGTATCGTTCTAAAAGCCGCGCAAACAGACAATCATTATGCGTTTTCACCGTCGTCATCCGTCACCATCTCCGAATTCTTGAAGATGCTTTTGGCGATTGGCTTCTTTTATCGCGAGTGGGCGGCAAGGGTTGCAGAAAACGCAGGGCGAGCCTACCTGCCGGTTTCCGCATCTGACGACTCTGTTCCACTGACATATGAGATGGAAAGGCCACTCGAGGAAAGTGACAAGCAACGCGAAATGGGGGATGAGGCTCTGCAGAAAACCGGGCTCTGGGTAGAGCGTTCTTTCTTCACAGCCATGAGGAAGGAAGTCTCTACTGATATAGCGTTCGGGCTGGGCCTCTTGTCGCTTTTCTACGTACTTATTAACAACTTGGTTAGTTACGTGCAGAGTATTTGTTCAAGCTGCCCATGATTATTGACATTGTTTGCAGGTTTTCGTCAGTTACCAAGTTGCCGACCCGGCTACCATTTCATTAACCAAGAGCGGTGTAACGTGCGTCACGGCTTTAGTCCTAATGTTCACCCTCAACACAAAAATCACTGGCATTCAGTGGCTTGCTATCGTCCTGCAAGTACGGGCTATCATGTCTTCTTCACTCTAGAATATTGTCTAACTGGCAGCAGGTTTGCGGCTTACTCGTTACACAATATGATCCGAAGGCCGGCGGTGTTTACTCGGTCGGAGTATACCTCCTCTTGGTTTTTCAAGTGTTTCTGAGTGCAGTATCTGGTGTTTTCAATCAAGGCCTCCTGCAAGCGAGCAGCGCCAGCTTGCATGCAAGCAATATCATCCTGTACGGCTCTGGTGCATGGAGTAACTTGCTGTGCCACGTGCTCATGAGAACTACCAAGTCCAATGAACCGGGGTTTTTTGAGGGGTATGGCAGCCTGCATGCCATCTTGATTATCATAAATAACGTGTTGATTGGCCTCGCTATAAATGCAGTATATAAATGTAAGTATTCTCCTCCTCGCATCACCTGCGCCACTGAATCCTAACGATAAAGCAGATGCCAATGCAATCGTTAAATGTCTCGCAACGGCCATTGCCACGGCCATACTCATCTTTCTCTCGCCAATATTTTTTGGAACGATTTTCAACTTATTAATTGTCCCTGGATCAATAGTCGTGTTTGGTGCTTCGTGGTTATACGCGATGAATCCAACACCAAAGCCTAACAAGAGCGGCTCGCATGCAAGCAACTCCCAGCACCGCCCTTGGACCTCGCTGCCAAACCTGCGGAAATTTTATCTAGTCCTGTATGGGATAGCTCAACTCATCACTTTGGCGTTGATAGCTGCCATGTCCATATCCGGTTTCTCGGCTTCTAATATTGTTAGCCAGAAAAACGGTACATCATCCGTCACCTCACCATTCGAAAAGGCACTCGGGTTCGTTCGCTGGAACGGAGAGCATCCGGAACGCATCCCGCACGTTATGAAATACCGGCCTTTCTTCCACACTATGCACATCTCCATGCCGGACGAGACGGCTCCAGGGCAGGGATTAAATCAGACAAGCCTAACGGAAGACGCGGCTAAGATAACCTTTACCATTTACCGCCAAGTGGCGTTGACAATGCAAGTTATTTTAGATACTCGGCCTGACATCACCGGTCTTTTCTACTTTCATTTCGATTCTTGGATCGATCCCCTTGCGTGGAGTGATATAAACTTGGAAAATTTTTACTTTCCCTTTTTAACCGACAAGACTAAAGGTCCATTTACAATATGCATGAATGACACCGCCAAGCAGGACTGGTGGGGGTGGGAGAAAGATGTTCACAAAAAGGCAATGGAAGCAGCCTCGGCAGCCAAGTCAAGCGCCGTAACCCAAAACTACACAATAAATGATCATGAGTGGTGCTTAGGATGGAGTGATATATATTACATACCGAGGCGGTTTTTTGGAGATTTCATTCGCCTCTCTGAGGTCTTCGCTAATCCCCAGTTCGATGTTTTCCACGAGGTGGCAATACCGACTATCGTCCACATCATCGATAATAGCCGTCGCGAAAGCCCTCACATACCAGTCGTTAATCACATTAGCGATTGTTGGGGTGACTGCTGCAGTTCAAACCCTTCTGTGGACGATGTACTTAGATATCCTTGTGGGCATCGTCTGGACTATCTCAATAAGCCGGTAACGGAGGCTTTCTTTGCAAAGCTAGCTAGTGAAGCATCCTTATTAAAAAAACACGAATAGCGCTATAAAGGCATATTAAGACACTAAAATACAGGAGTATTTAAGGAGTTAATAAGGTAGCGGTATTATAATGTAAAGTTATATAGCTGTACTAGTAATAATACAATTTGTTAAGTTATTTTATCTGAAGCTTCTAGTTTTTTATATTTCACTATTACTTCTAGGCTTATCTTAAAGTATATTTATTTAAGAGTATTTTCTTCACTCAATATTATATACTAGAGAGTATAAAGATAATTTTGTCTTTTCGTTCAAGTTAAATTGGAAAGCGTCAGCGTGGTATTACCTTCCAGGAGCACCAACCAGGCTGAGTAGTTGCTCCTCGATTCACGGAGTAAGTACCTATAACTAAATTCCTAGCTCTCGTATATTGTATATTCTTGTTTCCAAGGCTCTATTCTATTAATTGACAGCTACCAAGCTAAAGATTTCATAGAAGCTATACAGTCTAAGTTACCTTTGCCTATACTATTTAGTCATGTTTGTAGCGTGACTTTAATACTTGGTTTTCGACACAGCTTATCTAAATACCTGGTGAATCGTACTACTGGCCTGTCTACAAAGCGCCAAAAGATATCTGCAACCCAAATAACAATGCCCATTATAAATACAATGTCAAGAACTAACATTGCTGCTCTCTTCCACTGGCTATCATCTGCCCCAAACCAAGAATGCACTTTAGGCTTAATATCCGCTCCGATGGAGATCTGAACGGCATGATGCACGAGGTAGACTGAGTATGATACATCTCCCAGATACTGAGCGACTGGCGTCGTGAAGGCTTTTTGCAGGGTTGGGACCCGGAAGAGGGCCACAAACACTAGCACTGAAGAGACGCTGCTCCAGAATTTTAAGGGCATAATAACTCCCTTGTTATCTAGATACACTTTCGGGGTGTGTGGGTAGACCCAACGAAAGTCAAATGAGATTTCGGCGCTGCGCATCGGATATCCAGCCAGGTAAAGACCAACGAGGAATATAGTAATCCAGAATGCCAACTGGAGTCGTGATATCCATTGCAGCCTCTCTCCTATGCTCTTATTCCCTTCTTGGGTTCTTTTGCGTTCTTCGATAATTGCTTCAGTCTCGGCAATAAAAAGACCGGCCATAAACAAGAGAACAGCCCAATGGCCGCTTGCATTCGAGTGAATTATTAGGACGCCAACGACAAATAGTCGCATCCACGTCCTAAGCCGTGAAGTGCCTATAATAACTAGAAAGAGCAACATGGAGCAGGAGAACTCAATCGGGATAGTCCAGAGATGGAAAAGGCCAACATCTTGTTCATCCCAACGCCAGCAGTACATGACTGCGCTAGTTTGGGCGTATGCGTCGCTAATCATAGTCCATACCGGCGGTGGATTCCAGTATATGCATGGAACAAGAATCTTCTCAAACATGATGCCAGCGATACTAGGCAGAAAGAGGCGGAACCCGCGACGGAAGATTAAAGATACGAGAGACTCTGAGAGTCTCTCGTGCTCCCCTGACCGAATCAGGAGAACACTTCGGTACGACAAGACGAATCCAGAGATTAAGAAGAAGCAAGCAACCATGGGAAGGCCGAGAAAGAGAACCCGTATAAATGGAAGCTGCAATAGATTTGATCCCATTCCTTCTTGTTCGTTAACGCCCCAGGTTTCCTTTACCCATTCATTATCTGGCTGTATGCCCATAAGATGGAAGACCGCCACAATAAACGAAGCGTATCCTCGTAATCCGTCGAGAAATGACGTTTTGTGCAGCTGTCGTGGCTTAGAGGCATAGTAGATGTTGCTGATAAAGCTTGGAGTGATAGCGACAACTAATAAACGAAGAAGAGCGAAGACGCTCAGAAAGGAGAAATAATGTGCAATTTTGATACAGGATTTACGCCTTTCCTGGTATTCGCCTAGTTCATAATCGTCGGAATTATAGAGGAGGCTCCGAGGAAGCTCGTCGGATTGATCAAATCGGTCTAGGGGAGGGTTTAAAAAGGAGCGAGCCCTCGCTGCCCCGTTATGGAGTCGACTCAAGAGGTACTCGGTCATGGCTAAGGTTGATGTGAGATTCTAATCACATTGCCAGACAATTGAGGGTCACAAAATATCGAGTATAATAGCGCCAAAGGCGCCAAGTATATTAGATAAGAATTATCTGAAGAATAAATAACAGATAAAAATAAATGCGCTATTTATCTCATAAGTAGCTTTGCTAAAGCGGCGAAGCTGTAACAAGAAACTATATCTGCTACAATCTTGAGACTAGGAGTCGTTGCTTTTTGCAATGCCGCGACGCGGCATTATAGGTGTCAGCAACCACTTGCCCCATATTGAGGTCCTGATATCTGACACACCTGCATGGACTGCAAGACCGCCTTAACGAGGAAGGGGTTCAGTGAGAAGAACTAGATGCGGCAAAAAAGAAATAACATGACTGAAGCCCATCATGACTCTTCACTGGCCATTTAAGTTTTGGGCGTCATGTTCCAGTTGCCACGTAGCAACAATATCAGTTCAATTGGACCAGATGCCCTGTAAGACACTGATAAAACTAGACGCTTCTAGTCTGTTCATGATTCAGGCTCGCTACTATTCCGCAGTTCATTTCTCGTCATGACTCGAAGTACTTGACTCATATGACTAACAGAGGAACGCCTTTTGAAACCTAAAACAAAATGAAACGGAGTTTTGTCCCAGTGTCCCCAGGCCCGCGCAAGAGTCAGGCCCCCGTGCCAAAGTGTGAGGCCCCTCTAGCAATTCCGCCGGGTTACCAGGTCGACATGGGCGCGAATCAGTTGACACGTCCTTCCCTTCCCCATACCGCCGCAAGTTGCATTATTTTGGCAGGCTTGTTCATGTACGCTGACTGGTGCGTTCAATATTGGCCGTTTCGGATGAGACAACAATGCAGAGTATATACACTTGGTTTCGTGTCGGCCATTGACGTGTTTAGTTAAATGCATACCCTCCGTCTCCCCTAGGTCCACTCTTTTCTGCAAGTCCGACCTCGCCTCCATCTATTTTTAAGCGGATTAAGATAGTTGCAAACTGTTAAACCTTTGGCGAATCTCAACTATTTCGCGAGATTTTCTGGGCTGACGTGACTATCCTAGAAATGCGGCTTTACTACACCAAAAATCGATATACAAGGTACTTGGTATTTCCGTGGGGTACAGGGACAGCTTGCTTAGGAACTTAAAGCTGACAGCCATTCAATTTAGTTTGGGGCATGCGCTACTACGAACTATAGTTGCCTGCGCCGGAGTATCGTTTCTTGTCGTCAGCCTCACCGACGACTTCTTCATGCCAATAAGAGCATTTCGGAAACCAGTGAAGTTAGCAGCAGAAAGCAGCTTTGTTCTCTCCGGTCCGACTCCGCAATTAACAGCCCATGACAACTATCAAGACCGCTTAGAAGCTCTCAATACGAGCGATCCAATCCCCGTCCTCTCCAAAAAGGATATCACGGACCTTAAAAGTCTGAAATATGCCGTGTTTCTTCCGACGTTTGTATGCTATTCCATTACCTATTTGCTAATAGAAGGCTAAATTGCGACTCGTCTAGACTGGCCACTTTTCTCTCGCAGCCGATTTCTACCGATCAATCATGTGTCTCTGCATCGATCATGCTGAAGTCGATTTTTATGCTATAGTCTCCGACTCTAGTGAGAAGAAGAGCTTCCAAGAAATGCTTGATACGCTGCAGCCCTGTGGGCGTACTTTCAGCCGCTGGGATGTACCCCCTAATAATATTAATGGACCTGCGGTTAAAGTTGAAATAGTCAACATGTTTGACATCTTGCCCAACTTCTTTCATGGAAATAATATCAGTCTAGAAAGCACATCATATATCCTCGATACGTACGGCAAGTTTGTCTACCAGTCTATTAAGAAACTAGCGTCTGCGATGCACTTCGAGTACGACCACGGACTCTGGCTGGACTCGGAAGCTATTGCTGTTCGACCTTTTAGACTTCGCGAGACATTTGACACGTATATCAAGGCACCTACGGTATTCCGATCGAGAATGAGTAACACAGACTTTATGGGAGAGATAATGAATAACTCGGCCAAAGTACTTGGCCGATCAATCGATTCATTCGGCTCATACCTCTGGACTCTGGAAAGGTGAGGCATCGTCAATGCACTTGCTAAAGATGCATCGTGCATGGCTAACTAGTACCTTGGCTTAGTGTGCAATGGATTATAGAGAAAGATGTGCTTCAGGACATGGTACGGTATGTGGAGGCAGCACATAACCGCGACTTCTGGTCAGTCTGGATCGAAAATAATGGACCATTCGAGATAAATCTATACAACTTGCACATTTTGGCTCGAAAATTAGAGACTGTAGGCTCTCTATTCTCAAAATACGCAGTTGTAGAAACTGAGAGAGAAATGATTCGATTTGGCATTGGTAAGTCGTCAAAATTAGTCGGGGTTTCACGCAGCGATGTACAGATATGAGGAGGGCTGATTTGAACCGAATTTTAGCACCCGCATTTCCAGAGGTCGAGTTCAATAAAGGCACCGGGTTCTTGGAAAGAGGATATAATCTCCTCCGCGCCTCCGAGATTCAGCCTAATCTTTCTGCCTTTCTGCGAAGATACGGCCAACGTCTTTTCCGACTTGAAGACTTGGCGGCAGCATCACCAGAGACTATAACTAAATTTATCCTAGACACGCCATTAGACCTTCTTGTTTGTGGAGCTCCGCCCTTGCATAGTTGGTGGCACGACAGTGAAGATGCAAGTCTTCCTAATTACGCGGATGCTACACGAGGGCTATGATGACGAGACGTAGGGCATGAGGCTCCCACCAACTTGTTGTAAAATACTACGCCACCCCTTACACGTTAGAGATGACAGCCGACGCTATGCTAGGCAATGCGCTTTGCTGTCTTGCTCCTGCTACCCAATATTTCATGCTGTCCAAAGTATGCTGTCATAAAATTGTGGTTAGCGCGGTTTCAGTTTGGCCAATGGTGAGGAGTGCTATACGGGGAATTGGTAGTGTCAGGGAATGCGTAGTATTGGAGGGCAATGCAGCGGACTGTAGGAAAGTCCTCAAGGAGAGTGCACTGTAGTACTAAGGACACGTAGCGCTACAGGGCAAATACAAGCACACACACACACACACACACTTTTATTACACCCGGCGGAGGCCTCTCCAATAGCGCAACTATGAGCTTATGTTACGTATCCAGTTCTCAATGCTGCACAACTTTGAGTCAAATTATGTCGGATTTGATGAGGGAGTTGACGTACTGAATACACGGGAGAGCAAACGTGGTAAGCGGCAATGTCTCTTGCATTTCCACAGTCGCCCCCAAACCGAGGACTCTTCGGTAAAAGAGGAGCTGTTGAGCCCAACCTCTTAGAAAGAGCCAGGCAAAGTGGGCTGGATATTACAAGGGTATTATGCGGAAACTTAGTATGTCAGGGAATAAAGCTCGTGCTTCGTATCGCCGGACAGAACATTCTCGACCGTCTTAGGAATGAATCTAAATGCGCAGTAATATTTTAGATGGGACAGACTGCAATAATCTTCAAGTCGATCCATCTCCCAGACAGGTCAAGCAACGCGATTCTTTGTGGCCGATCACGGTTTGTCTCTACACCTCAAAACCATAAAGCCCAAGCCCGATAATGACGGTTGCTACCCAGTAACTTGGACGTCCAGCCTAAGAATGCTCCAACCTTACTCGACCACCTGTGCTATCACAAATCTTAACAAAAAGGCAGTAACCGCTGTCCTCGTGGCAATAGCCTTTCATATTCTTCCTTGCCGATTAGGGCTTTGAAGGTCTCGACTTTGTGGAGAAGCCGGAGAAATGTTGTCGAGAGTGGTGCGCCACAGAAGTGTCGTCTTGAACACGACGGAATTTCCCTCGGTGATTAGGGGGAGCGCATCACCGTAACCATCAACCCTTTACTACTGTACGAAAGGTCGACTGGATACTCTTTTGCCCGTGTATTCCGTCAGCCCCGTCCGCAATGTCATAAAAATACACTTGACGCTCTCCGTCTCATTCTCCCCCTAGTTCTAGTACTGTGTCCCGGGCTCCCGGCACACCCCCGTTCCATCATTTGCACCATTTTTACCTAGGCACTATACTCTCACACTTTCAGCCTCGAAAACAGCCCCGTTCCAGGATGCGTACGACAGAACACACAGAGATTCAGTCTGTTACATGATACACTCATCCTATTCCCATGCGCTCGTTAACCATCGTGGAAGAACGGGGCCGCCACTGCTTGTTGCGGTGAAGGACTAGTTCTCTCCGGAATAGTATTGCCAGTCCACGGAAATGGACTGGTATCCTGCCGAACCATAGTCTGGGTGGTTTGGGGCTCCGGTTCGGTCGGTCCGTAGGCGCTCACCGGATATTGAGGAATTCCCTGTATATTGGCGCCAAGGTTACCCATATCTCCTTCGCCCGGTCCGTAGGCGCTCACTGGATATTGAGGAATTCCATGTCCATTAGCGCCACGGCTTCCAATGTCTCCTGCGCTTGATGATTGAGTTCCTGTCCGGGTTCGGGTCATGTAATGGCCTCTCTGAGCCATAGGCTCTACCTCTCCCTGAGGCGAGGAATAGCAACACGCGCACCATCCGTCTTCGCCCCTGACCAACTCAGAAATCCCAAGTGTTACTAGCATAAGCATGACTCGGACCGCAACCGCCCAACGATGTTGGGTGCAGCCCAAGAGCATTTCTTCAGAAAAGCTCCGATCACGGTAATGCTGCTCGGCCATATTGGGAGCATAAGGATTTGTTCCGGGATGAATATATGATGGTAGAAATGGAAAGCCTTAAAATGTGATGGTTGACATATGTCCCACAGTTTCCAAGGAAGAAAGAACAAAGGTTTCCAAAGGGGAAAGGAGGAGTAATGAATGCCCTAGCCTCGAGATATAGAGCTTGGGCGGGACTAGGCGGCTGGCATTGACTTGCTAAACAGTGAAAGCATAAAATATTCCCTTCCCCTGCCCCGACATGGTGAAGAGCATATATTAGCTACTTTGACATGTTAGATGGATTCGGGGACCTGGTGACGACCAAATCTTGGCTCTCATTGCGGCATGTATAGCCGTATTCGTTCTTTCAAGCCACGTACGGCACTCCACAGAAATGGCCAGTTCCCAAAGCAGGATACCCCATCATGAACCCAAATAGAGTTCCGAGGAGGGTTTGTGGCTTTGAGGACAACTAGAATGGCGTTTGAGCTGAAAATAGTGGCGGCACGATTATGGTGGCAGTGTGTAGCTGCTTCCAGGCGAATTACCTGGGTTGGCTATGCAGACTACCGAGGTTTTCAAAAGAAAGATTGGCGGTGCTGGCCAAAAGAAAATGCGATATGGATAAGGTTAAAGGATGTGTCAGCAAAATCCTCAGGGATAAAGCTGAGGGAACTTTCCTCTGGGTCGGCATAGTCAACAACGACTCGAGGATATCCCTTCGAAGAACACACTAACACTTGGACACAATACCCAAAGGCCATTACTGGCTTTACAAGAGGCTTCTTGACACTGCTCTTGAGCGAGAGATGGTCCAATCCAACGTGATGCTACTTATCATGAGCTTCGTTTCTGTGTCTCTTCGACCATTAAGCCTATTGGAGCTCTCTCAAGTTTGCGACCTACACCAAGACGAAGACGATGTGAGACCCGCGCGAGTACAATGAATCCTGCCGCCTATTGGTTATCATTCAGGACGAAAAGTACTGTTTCTGTATCAGTCAGTGAAGGACTATTTTAATTAAAGCCGGTGAAATAACTCGTTTTAGCGAGCTTCAAGCGCATGCACGCCTTGCCTATCGCTGTATTGACCTTCTCATGGAGCAGTTTGGTGGTGATAACCATGCACATGCCGGCTTGTCAGCCTATGCATCTCAAAACTGGCCGGACCATGCGCGCATGGCGAAGAACAATTTTGAGATCAGGGAGTCGCAGGCCGAGTTTTTCGAAATTAATTCACCCTGCCGAGAGTACTGGCTAAAGTCGCATCGTCGTCTCGCAAGTTTCTCTATTGAAATCGAGAGAAAGCGGTGTGCGGCCAAGCAACCTGCAACGGCACAAACTGGAGGAGACACATAACCTAACCACCAACCCCCCTTTTTTCTTTTTCTAAAAAAAAAAAAAATCCCTCCAAGGAGAAGGATTAGCTATTTGCGGTTAAGTAGTACATCAACCCGCTTTGACTTTGGTCTTGTGCATATGATATTAATATCTCCAATGGGACCTAGATCTTAATTCTAGGTTCGTAGATTCTTCATGTGGCAATTACGTGCAACGTCCGATGGATTCACGGCGCACTAGAATAGTTGAGGGCCCGAATTGATTGGAAATGAAGAGGCCCTTAGTTTTACCGCCAAAAACTGAACCCTGTCACATTTAGACTAGTATTTAAATGAAGATTCACTTCACGCCCGAACCTACAACTTCGATCATTCACAAACATGCTTCCCTGTATTCAGCTGTCCCCAAAAGTAATAAGAGTGAAGCGAGACAGTCGCCAGATAACTCGCTTCACTACGATAGAAACTGAGAGAAGACTGAGCGTCGAAAAGCTGAATCGGGAGCAAGAAATAGCAAATCTAAAGACTCGAAGGCGGGTAATAAGGCAGTCGGGGCTTGAAGCTCTGCTAAACCACGCTGAAGCCACCGTCGAGCTCTCCGGCTCGATATTACGCCAATTAGCTCGACAAGAGAATGCGCCTCTCGAACGTGCGGGGAAAGACGGAGACGTGGATGTCGTACTGAAGGGACAGACCGCCAGGACAGAGGCTGGTGAGGCTTTGCGCATAGCACTGAATGATGATCCTGGTGGTCGCGCATCAAAGAGAATTCTATAGGCCATGTGCGATGCATCCTTGATTGTAGTGGCATTTATTTGTCACATGTCACTTCTGATAATAGCCGCCAAGCGAAGATTGGAGGCTTTGTCTACTTATGCGTTTGATGTCATGCACAATATTGTACGCAAAGAAATGAGTCCAAATCGCCAGGCTGCCATCATTCCTAGTGGGGAAAGTCAATAGCTTCCGGAGACAAGCGCGCGTCCGGTGCAGCCCTGAGCCCGTCTTACAAAGAGGATCCTCATTGAAGAGAATAGAAAGCTCGGGTCGTGATATTTACTTTGGTTTCGTACAGTGGAATCTGTCCACACTGAACAGGCCTAACCGGTTAGGCCCAGCCATTCTTGGTACAATAGGTGGTGCACGTACAGGGTCGAGAGCAGGGGAGAAACAGTGGGGGGATGCCCAAAAATTAGGTGTCGTCAGCAGATTTTGCACAAACCATGCAGAAGAGCTGTCGTGGGCATGCATTACTTTTTGTCGACTCCGAAACGATTACATATATTCAATGAACTATGCAGAGCAAAACTTTCTATCTTGTACGGTACAGTGCGTAAGACCTATAGCCGTGATCGTTCAAAATCCTTTGCGATGAAGCAATTTCTTGCACTTCTTTACCTATGTTCGTGAGGCTCTGAGAGTGACGCCATGAACACGAGCAACATGATTCCGAAAATGATTGAGGCTCGTCAACTTCAAATCAGCATCCCTACATTTCGGGTGGTTGCACACGATAAGATTATCAAAGCTCTTAATAGTATGCAGATGTTCGCGGTCAAAATGATCGTTTATTACCGCAGGGCGGCAGTAGGAGAAAGTCCTCTCTTCAACAGAGAGGGTATGGACTAGTGCTTCTCGTACTCGTAGTATTAGGAGTCGCGTTGGTCTTTGACGGGGATTGGCTGGTTCTCTTTACGGGCGACTATAAACCTCTCTTTTAACGCTTAAGGCTTGATTAGCTAGAGCTTATATTACTGCCTAAGCCTATTAGGACTTAATACTAGATTACTATTAGCATTAAATTACATATAATATTAAGCTATATTAACGCCTCTTATTACGAAAAGATTTAGCTTACCTTATCTTATAAAACGCTAAAGGGTTAACAGCTATTAAGGTATATAAAGTGTTTATATATAATTAGAAGAATAACTGCTTAGCTAATTTCATTAATTTAATTCCCTTATTACGTTATAAGTAAGGGGAATTATTAATAGACTATTCTAGAATTTAGGAGGTAGAAAATATAAATAGCCGCGCTTTTACTTCTTTAAAGAGCAGGTAAACTAGTAGTCCTTAGAAATTTCGTTTAAAGATAAAGTAATACCACGTTTTTACTCTTTTATATCTTAGCGTTACTAGCTTTATAACTTTAGTATTATTAAATGCTTATTATATAAGCTTAAAGACGAGAAACTCTCCTTTTTATATAGTTATAAGGTTAAGTGGTTTCGGTTATAACGTTATAGTACCGCCTATTAATTAGTAGAGATTACGCGGCGCTTAGTAAGACGCGTCTTACTATTATAAGGGGAGCTTATAGCCTATAGAAAATATATTATACTTAACCTTTAACATAATTAGTTACTCTTAGCTTATAAAAGGTTAAAATTAAATTAATTTTCCGCTCTTATAACGCGTATAATTATATTCTAGGTATAATACGGTTTAGCGCTTATAGGTAACCTACCTACTTCTTAGCTTATAGGGCCTTTTAAACTAATAGTATAAGGAGTAAGCGATAAACTAATTATATATAATATGAAAGTATTAATAGCTATTAAGGTTAATCCTTAAGTTACTATTATATATTCTTTACTTTAACTATTCTTTAATACCTATTATATTAAGATCTTATTTATTATTAAAATTTATTTTATTTAGCTAATCTCTTAATTAAATTTTTATATTTATATAACTAGTATATATCTTTAAATCCCCTTTTAGCTAATAATTACGCGGAGAACTTAGCTAATTCTAGACCTAATAAAGGGTATATTAATTAAAAGGAATATTAATAGGAAGCTAAATATTATTTTAGTATTAAAGGTTAGTATCTTATAGGTTTATTATAATTTTATGAAACTTAACCTATTATTATATAAAGAGTAAACTAGTGTTAATCTAATAGTATTATCTATTATTAAAACTTTTAATTATAAGGAGTCTACCTTAACTATTACTACTAATGCTATTTATATTCCAAATATTATAGATAAAAGAAAGTAATTTATTATCGCGAGAATATAACGTATTATATACGTATATAGTACTACTATTCTTCTTTTATAGCGTGAGTCCTAGTAAGGTAATATAGCTATTCTCCTAGTATTATAGAGTAATAAAGGCACTAAAAGTTACTTAAAGTACTAGAAGATTAGTAGTATAAGTCCTATTTCTTTGTGTATTCTTATATAATTTATTTATAAGTAAACCCTTAGAAATTAATAGTAAGAGATATTACATTTTAAAGTTATTAAAATTTAGATTAAGCCTAAAAATAACACTATAAATATAGCTTAGGTTTCCGATTATTATACTATTAGTAATAATAACTATAAGTCTCTTTACCTACGAGTATAAGCATATAAGACTAATTATAGCGTGAAAAACTGCTATCTAATAGATAAGCATTTTTAAAGACGAATATTCTTTACAGGTTATAGTAGTAGTAGTAATTAAGCGCGACTTAAACGAGTCTTAAGTCTATTGGAATATTAAAGTTAATAGTAATAACTTAATATTATCTTTTAGCGTTAAGTAAAAGCTTACGGTAAACAGCTAACTTTTATTAGCTTCTCTTTTATCGTTAAACTATATATCTTATATTTAATGCTTTTAGTAGCTAGTATTAAATAGGTCTCTTTAGCTACCACCTAGTTAGAATATTATATTCCT